TGAAATCATATGGTCACAGACTAAATAATAATGTACTACCTATTGCAAAAGCCTATGCAATATGCATTTCATTAATCATATTTGGAGTTTACACAGCATCTCTAAGAAATCCCAAATGCTTGAAAAATATTTCATTTATTTTCACAGCACTATTTTAGATGTAATGTGGAACTCTCATAGTTGAAGGATTAAAGGAGACAACACATGCAATGGTTAATGGTACTCTTTAATGGTTAATGGTACTCTTTAAGTTAGCTGCTATTATTGATACCACTATTACTATTGACATTTTGGTAGACTATAGGCATTCAAGTTTTGTCATGATATGTATTTTTCTGCACCTGACATATGAAGGCATCTAATCATTATTATTTTTAGAGATGGGGTCTTGCTATGTTGCCCAGGCTAGAGTATAGTGGCTATTCACAAGTGGGATCATATCCTACTGCAGCCTTGAGTTCCTGGTCTCAAAGGATCCTCCCAACCTCAGCTGGGATTACAGGTGCATGCCACCATGGCATCTGATTGATTGTCTAGATCCTTTAAAGCCATTCAAATGGTTTTCATCAGAATGTCCTTAAATTGTGAGACCATGACAGCATTACCTTCATATGCCAAGTCAGGAAAGATGGAATGCCACGTTATAATAAAAGAAAACTTTACAGACAGGCACCCATTCATTGTTAGATGATGATTTTGCTGTATGAGACTCAGTTCAAGATCTTTTATTCCGAAACAAGTTGGAAGTTTTATCCCTGAATGTCTCAAATTTAGGGATGTCTCCCCCTTCTAGGCTAGGTCTTACATAATCACAATGAGATGGAAGTTTCAAGAGAGCACAAGACAGAGAACAATCAGGGATGTCATCTTGTTTAACTGTCACTTTATTTATTCATGACCAAATATAATGCTAAGCGGCATTCGGATATTACCCACATTGCTTCCCACTCTCTGCCAAACATCAATCCTTTGCTGAGTTATGCAGGGCACCGACTAAGCTCTGTGGGGAGGGCAGAGCTACTCGTTCAAACTAGAGATGTTTGGACTCCTTTTACAGAGCAAAAATTGTGGGCCAGAGTTGATACCCAATCACAACTCACATCATTTAAAGCAGGTTCAACAATTGCTCTGTAAAGGAGGCAAAACTCCACCTCCATCCTTTTGAGTTCTGGCTGGGCCAGAGAATTAAGCTGACCCAAGATAGATTAAGAGGAGACAAGCAGACAGATTTATTTAATAGAAGTTTTATGTGGCAGGGGAAACTTCATAAAGAACTGAAGATCTCAAAACACAGTTGGAGTTGAACTTTATATACTGAATTGAGCAAAGAGTAGTAAACTGTGAAAATGTGATAAGGCAAAGGGATTATGCCATGGTGGTTAATTGGGTGGAGAAGGGACTAAGAAGATAAGGGTTAGTTTAACCAGGTTTGTTTGTAAATATCTCCCTCAGATTAAATTTCCTGTCTTTGATAACAGTGTTGCTTTCCTTCCAGTGGAGGGAGGGCATCTTTCATGTGGGAATGTCATCTCTGGCTTTTAAGAAACAGTATTATTTTCTTGCACCTGCTGTTTTGTTTTGTTTTTTTTTAAGTGTTTTAACTTAAACTAGTGAATATGCCAGAGCAGCATATTTTGGGGTGGCATGCTCTGAACTTCTTCAGCTTCTAATCACAAATTTCTTATCTTGTTCAAGGTACTATGAACCAAGTTCTTTTATTCTCTCATTTCAACATTTAAAAGTCAAACACGCATAGATTTCTGGACAGAGACTTCTTCAAGGAAGTTGCAAACATTATGTCTTTTTTTTTCTCTGTTGCAATGTGTATACTATTGATTTCGGGAAGGAACACTCATTCTTGCAGTGCTAAGATGAAATCTAGTGCTCACTTTATCCACCCCATCAATAACCATTAGTAAAAAGTATATCGCAGTGTGATGTTAAAATTTTATGGTTCCTTAGGGCTGTGATCCTTAACCTTCCAGCTGCAGACAGTACTGGCCCGTGGCCTGTTAGGAATCAGGCCGCACAGCAGGAGGTGAGTGAGCAACGCATCTTTATTTACAGCTGCTCCTCATCACTCCGGTCACCACCTGAGCTCTGCCTACTGTGAGATCAGCAGTGGTGAAGGAGAAACCGTCAGGTGCCGGGCGCGGCCACTTGCCGCGTCCCTGCCACTCCGCATCCCCTCAGGCCGGTGCTGTGCAGGGTTGGCTGGAGGCCGCTGCAGGTACACACAGCTGGGGCCAGGCCTGGTGTCCTTGCGGGCCAGTGCTGTGCCATTTGCTGTCCTGGCCCCCGCTTGGTGCTGGGCAGCCTGCTTCTGTCATCCCGCAGTGCTGCTTGAGTGATCCTGATTGGGTAACTTTTGAATCCCACTGTTGTTGATTGGTTGATAAAGCTTGTTGCTGATTGGATGTTAAAGCTTGTAGTTGATTGGACACTTTTTGAGCCCTACCAAGGGTATAAAAGCAGGAGGAGACCAAGGAAGGGGAGCAGATCAGAAGAGAACTGTAACACCAGGTGTGCTGAGCCTGCCAGAGGAATAAAGGCTGTTCTCCGACTCTTTGTGTGCTGGGTTCTTTCCCCGGTCAAGAGCTGTAACACTAGCTGTACACATTGCCGCAACAGTGGCATTAGATTTTCATAGGAGTGCAAACCCTACGGTAAACTGAGCATGTGAAGGATCTCGCTTTCGAACTCCTTATGATGATCTAATGTCTGACGGTGTGACATGGAGTTGAAGTGGTGATGCTAGCACTGGGGAGAGGCTGCAAATACAGATTTATCATTAGCAGAGAGATTCGACTACACAATAAATGTAATGTGCTTGAATCATCCCCAAACCATCCCTCCCAGCCCCATCCCCCAGTCTGTGGAAAAATCGTCTTCCATGATACTGGTCCCTGGTGCCAAAAAGGCTGGGGACCACTACCTTAGGTATTTCCTTAAACAGAATGCAACCAAAGCCTGACAACAAAACATAGCACTATAGAATCAATTACTAAATATCATTCAAGTACACAGGCTTTACTAGGCAAAGGAAGAAAGTTTTGAAGTTGCCATCTGAAGACTTAGGGCTGGTTATGGCAAATTTCTAAAGCAGAAAGGCTAGATAGCTTTCAGGTTTCCAGGTACAGTAATAACTTGGCTAGGCTGCTTCAAGTGCTTTGCAAAATCTGACTTACTACAAATTTATACTGCCTTTCCAAAAAAGATTTGATGGAACCTAAAATGAAAAGAAATAAATGCAAACATTGATTCATGGGGAAACAATCTATTTTTTTAAAAAGAAGAGCTCTGATTAGCTACATTTTCATTCTGAGCTTCCTGGCAGCCAAAGAAAAAAAGTAATGAAAAATGAAAAGAATGTTGTATCTGGAGGCATAAGGAATGGTTTCCAGTTTGGCAATCTGTTGCTGTCACTTACTGGCAGAGGTGGCGGGGGTGTTTCTCTTAATGTATCTTCTTAGATTCTGTTTCCTTATTTTAAAAGTGTGGACAATAAGAATCTGAAAGAATGTCGAGAGGATTCAAGGAGATACTGTATGTGGAGGAAAATTAAAGCATCAAAAAAATGAAATTGGCTATAATAAAAAAATCATATTATCCAATGCAAATAAGACATTTTCTTAAATCAGACAATTTTTTTATTGGTCTGACTTCCACAGGGTGTAGAACACCGGCAGCATATCACACGTTTGCTGAACTAATGAAGGTGGGAAGGCGGATTGTTCCCAGATGTTTTCCCTTCAAGCTTGAGTAAATGTTTGGTCAATTTCACATACTTTTTCAACAAAGAAAATAGGGAAGTCAGATGCCAAGCAGCTGAGAGGGGCTGCAGAAGGTCCTATGCATAAAGGCTGCTCCATTATGAACTCACAACCACAGTTCTAAATAGGCTTTCAACACTGTCCAGCAACCTGCTCTGATTTCAGGACTTCATTTACCATCCTCTCCAATCACTACTTCAAGCCTCCCACAGTCTCCATCCACTTGATTCTTCACTCTTCATACATGAGCTACCAAGTCTTCCCTGACCTTTGCTAAATTGTCTCCCTATTTTACACTATCAAAATACCACTTACATTTTTTTCCTCATGACATCTTTGTTCAAAATTTACATTTATTTGTATCATGATTATGTTTATCATTATTTAGTGTTAAGTTAATACATCAAAATAAAATTATATAATTATCACACTTATTTCCATCCTTATTACATTTAATCACATCATTATGTCCGTAACTGGCTCCCAGACTGTAAACTGCAACAGAGCAGCGGCCTGTGTTTTGTTCATCATTGTATTCCCCAGGGCTAACCAAGTGCTCCATACATAGTAGGTGCTCACTCAATATTTGCTAAATTAATTAGCATTCCTGACTTCTAGAAACTCTCTGGTGGGGGGTGGAGGCTTAATTAATATGCAATGGTATAGTATGCAATGGCCATCTAAAATTTCAGAGGGGTTTGCAGGTCTCCACTTCGGCCTTCGGCCTTCGTAAAGAAACCTAGGTTGCCTGTTTTGCAAAGTGAACCCTGTGGCAAATGTTTTGGGTGGCGGCAGAACCTGGCCCCTCTACAAAGACAGAACAAAACAGGCCCCGAAGCCGCCCTAAAATCTTTTCCTGGATCAGACAAGCGTTGCAGCCAAGGCTGGCGCTCCAGGGTACGACCTGGAATAAACCCAGCGAGCATCCGGCGCGCGTACCGGGCGTGCCAGCTGGAGGCTGCGCTGGGACTGCCCCCTTCTCATTTCTCCCGCGCGAACCCCCGCCGGACGGCTCCACTCCCTGTCTCCAGTGCAGGGGGGAGCCCGGCGCCCCCGTACCGGCAGCCGCCTCATGCCGCGCCCCATTGCAGCCCGTCTCTCGCGCCGCCTGCGGAGGGAAGGTCACTGCTCGTGAAATTGGGTCGGTGATCTGAGCCACGAGGCCCGGCGAGGCGGCGCCGAGTGGGCGGCGCGACGCGCTCCCCCTGTCCCGTGCGCGGAGTGCGCCCCTCCTGGGGCCCGCTGCAGCTGCGGGCGCGGTGCGCTGGCTGCGCGGCCGCGGGGCGTTCTCCGTGCGCTGGGCGGGTGGCGAGCGAGGTTCCCGTGGCCCCACGCTAGGAGGAGGCTGGAACTTCGTTAGGAAGAATGGAATTGGCGACTCGCTACCAGGTGAGGGTCCCGGACGCGCCCGCGGCTCGCCCTCCTTTTGCGCCCTGGCCCTCCTTTTGGCTTTGGGCTGGAAACGTGGCCCTTGGCCGCGGCGCTGTGGATAGGGCGTGCCCAGTCCCGCGGACGCCGGAGGGGGCGCGCCCTGCAGGTGTGCGCAGCGGGTCACGGTCGTGCCACCCCGACTAGAGTGGCCGGGCGCCCCCACACGCCTAAGGCCAGCCGGGCGCCCTGCTTCGTCCTGGGTGGCTGCCTGGGGGTGCAGGCGGGGCGGTAGCAGGGCGCAGCGCTGGAGAGACCTGGGGTGGGGGGCTTTTTTTGTGCGCCCCTTCTTTCTCCGGGAATGAAGTTTAAGAAAGATGTAGTTTTTCTAAAAAAACATAGTTGAGACCAGTTCAGCTTGGATAGTGGAGTTAGTTAAAAGCTATGGCTTTCGTGTTCTAGAACTTTTTTTTTTTTTTACTTTTAACTTTTTCCTAATGTAAATATTCTGGAACTCTTTATAAGTATTTTCAAGGAATTTGTAACCAATGGGGCGGTGGGAGCGGCAACGTCATGAGGCCAAGTTAAAAAACAAGCTGCAAGATCCCAAATCATACACACAGCACGACCCCTCTTACGCATTATGGGCCTAACTAGGCTTTATAGCTCATTAACAAACACTTGAGAGTAAGTTTCCCAAACATTGCAATGAGTGGTGGGAATGTGACCGTGACTTCAGTTTTCTCTTACTTTTTCAAAGAGCTTTTCTCTCAATTTTTGTAATGGACGTACATTCTTATGTAGAGGTAAGCAATAAGAACATTTTTCAAAAAAAAACTAAAAATAAAACTTTTAAAAAGGGAAGGAAGCAGCCACGCTGCTGCTTGTGGGAGCTGCAGAGATGCTTTGTGAGAGGGTTGGGTTTTTTTTTTTTTTCCTGCTTGCTTTTGTGAGGCTCTGGACTCACTGCTTCCCCCTTACCTTCGGCTGGTGTTTACTTTTCTACACCTGGGTGCTGGGGCCGGGAGTGGAGGCGGGGCCCCTGGCCTTGGGAGACCCAAAACACTGGCCGCTGTCACCTGCCTGAGTCTGGCAGCAAATTAAACACCGAGCCACTCGTGGTCGCTCTGGCCATTTAGTAATTTCTGAAAGCTTTCTTAAACGTGGTCGTTCGGGAAAAATCTATTGTTGTGGATGTTTGTGAGGAGTATTTTAAAAATTCCTCCAATGAAGGAAGATACTAAAAGCAAGGAAAACAAATAGTAAAGCCTCCTAGTAGCCTTTTCCCACTTAACTCTGGCATTCTATATTTCTAGGAGTTTCTGCTTATCCAGGCCTTAAATAAACAAACCTGGAGAAGGAGATTTGAGCTCCTTGTGCATTTCATCAGAAAGTGTATCTTGATAATGTATCAACTCCTGAAACTTGTTCTGTTGGAGAGGTCTTTGCACTTCCACTACTGATAATCGTAGTTCATGTTGAGGACATTGAAAAGTGTCCCAGAATGCGTAGTTGGAAGTGAACATTTTACTGCCACGTAATGAGGCTAATTTTTGGTAGCCTTAAAATGTTAAACTATTTACCATGTGCAGGTAACCCACAAATTATATTCGACCCATTATGCACCAATTAGGGCAAATTACTGTATGTAAGATGATCAGGTTTTTCCCCCCTTTTCTAAAGACCTCCTAATTGGTAGTGCAAATTAAGGTGTGTGATGATTTTTGCAGTGAAAAATGTTCCTGTTTATAATTCAAATGTGAGTAGATTATAGTGCCTTCAGTGGAGAGTAGTTCTGTGGAGTGGGCAGGTGACTGCAGATAAGAGCACTTAATGAACATTTCAGGCACAGCAAGATGTTAAATTCCTGTGGTTCTACCCTTTCCCCCAGCCTTATGAATAAATCAGTGTGATGAACCACCGGAATCGGCATTACTACTTACTGAATACAGTTCAACTCAGTGTGCAGTGGGTTTTAATTTCACACGTGCAGTAAATATAATTTCCATCCCTTAGCACAGAGCTAGAAAGGTGTTTCAGCAAAGCAGCTTAGGCCTAACGTTAATGAGTAATAAGTGAACAAGGAAGAGACACTCGTTTACACTCTGAGCTATGAGTTTCTACTTTTGCACGGTCCCACCAGCATGTCAGATTCGATGTCCTTTGACAGTGATTGTGCCTCCCATGGGCTGTAGTCTTGTCGGGCTGACCCCTATGTGTTTTTATATTGAATGACAAACATCTACTAAAGGCAAGGGTGTGATCCCTTACCAAGAGCTTTTAACAGTGCAGTTGACCTTGCCTCAGCTTCCTAGCAGAGAGACTGGTTGGGACTGACTGCTAGTGTCCTTGTACTCTTTTCCAGGGGTGCAGGACCGACAGACTCTTTGAGAAGGAAATGATGCTAAGTGTTCTCATGAATATGCATGAGCATGCTGACGAAGGGGTAAAGGGGAATTCTTCTGGTGTTGACCTCATAGTTGCAAAGTGCTCCCATCTGATCCTGTGGCTTAAAACGTGTGCCCAGAGCTCCAGAAGCTGGTCTCAGAGAAGGGACGTTTGCGATTTTTTTTGGAAGGACAATGATTTTCCACTTTAATAGTCCTTTATGTAAAAGGCCACTCATTCACTCTTTCTGTGCACTGCCGGACCATCCATGGCAGAGTCGAATGCTCAATGATCAGAGGAAAACCTCAGCGATCACAGCACAATTCTGATCCAGGTACACGGGACAGAAAACCGTAAGACAGTGTGACTTTAAAACAATTTGTGAATGTAGAGTGAATTCGTGAAAAAGGTCAATAAAGCCATTCGAATAGAAAAGCCCAGGCATATTAATTTGAAACTGCTTTTGAAGGTTTTCCTTTTACTCATTAGCATGCTCTTGGAGTTACAGTTTAGAATTTTTGCCTCCAACACACAGTTTTGTTTTATACAAGACTTACAACTTTAGTCACCAAAGTGGAGTTTGATACAGGCTGCTTGAGGTTGGGACAGAGATAAGAAAATATTAGTGGAACCATTTTATTTTCTTTTTGTTTGTGAAAAGCAGTGGACCATTCAGGGGCGCGCTTGGCAAGTTTAGCAGAAGTTATCACTCAGAAAAGTGTCATCTTCCGCAGTAGTAAATGCAAAGGAAATAAATATATTGTGGACTCTTACAGAATAAGGGGCCAGAGTTTTAATTCAAAGGAATCATTGATGCTTGCTGCCTGGTTTTTGCAATCATCTGAGGACAGAGGGATTGCTGACTGGGTTAGTCCATTCAGCAGATGTTCATTGAGCACTTACTACGTGCTAGTTATTCTTAGTTATGGTAGAAGAACAAGGACATGGGAAATACTCTTCTTCCCCACCCTCTACCAGAAGGCCACTCTTGAACTCCTTGCCTCATTCTGCCTTAGCCAGAGCTTAGCTGGCTCCTACTCTGTGCTGTGGGGACTTAGGCTGCCTGGGGGTGGGGGGAGGGAGACCTTAAGAGCCTTTTTTTTTCTCTCCCAAGGAATGTGAACTATCACTTTGAAAAGTCATGCTGTGTTAAGTACTTAAAAGTTGTCAGAGTTAATGCTCACTATAGTTTCGGGAAGCAGGTGGTATTATCTTCATTTTAAAGATAAAGGTTACATTGACTAATTTGCTCAGGGAAGCTTACAGGCAAGAAGCTCAGTTATGATTCTGTCCCCAAAACTTGGGACTTTGTCAAGTCACAAATCTTTCCCTAAAAGAATTGAGGATAGAAATCTTTGCCTAAATCATGGTGCTACGGAGATGATGAAGGACATGCTGAGTATAACATACTGTTTAAGTAGAAGGGCTGGAGTCTTAAGAGCAGCTGGTCTGGTTCTTTTTTTAGGAATTTACCAGACTCTGCTTTATACTGTGTAAAAGTCAACTTGGGAATATCAATTAAGATCCGCAAAGCTTTTTCATTTTTATGTGAATTTTGTGCAGTACAGACACCTCTGCCTCCCCTGCTCTTCTCTGTACTTCCTTCTTGGGTAGTTTCCATCTAGTGTTTGCCTGTAGTACAGTCATCGTTTTTTGTAACCATTGTGTCATTGCTCGGGGGCACTGTCACTTTTGAGTACCTTAGAGGTCTTTACAATTTTCATTTGTAGTGACTGCGTAGTGTTTCACTGAGTAGATGTGTAGTTTATGTATTTTCTGATGAAAACAGTTTTTCTTTATTAAAGGAACTTTGTCATAAACGTCTCAGGGTGGTATACTATGTATCTTGTGGCTTGTGTCAGAGTCCAGACTTTTAATTACTGTTTATGATGTATTTCTTATAAACATGCCCAATTTTCAATAGATGGGAACCTGTGACACATTGTTTTCCTAGGGTATTTCCCCTTCTGTTGTGCTGTATTAACTGAGAGAAAGTAGTTTTTGCGGAGGTTAGAGTCAAGGCTAGTGATAACTGGATGAAACAATTACTGTTGTTTCCCTGAGCTCGGAGCATCTGGTAGAATGTTTTGGTTTGGGGGAAAGTGTAGAGTGGTCTTAGAGGTCTGTTCTTTACCACCATCGGGCTGCCTAGAAGACCAAGAAAACCCATTGAACGTGCCACACGTAGTGAAAGTGACTGCAGATTAGGGCTGTTCAGAATTGGTGGAAGTTGACTTGGAAGCAGGAACACCAGGTCCTGAGCTCCCCTCCTATGTGGAAATGTTCCCTTTTTGTTGGTTTTGTTTGTTTGTTTGAGACAGAGTCTTGTTCTGCTCTGTGGCCTGGGTTACAGTGCAGTGGTGTCAGCCTAGCTCACAGCAACCTCAAACTCCTGGGCTCAAGGGATCCCCCTGCCTCAGCCTCCCGAGGAGCTGGGACTACAGGCGTGCATCATCGCACCTCCTCTACCACGTCTGGCTTTTTTCTGTCTTCTGTGGAGATGGAGTCTTGCTCTTGCTCAGGCTAACGAGTCCCTTTGTGAAAAGAGTTGCCTCCTTTTGTCTTGCTTATTTCAACTATAAATAGTCTCCTAGACAGCATTCCTGAAAGTATATTTTCACTGGAGGTTGGAT